ACTGGTCTAAATAGTATGAAGAAGTGATGTTGCTTTCTTGGGAAATGGTAATAATATAACCATTTATTTAGTTATTTATTTAGACAAATTGTAGCACATTGAAAAAATGCATTTATGTACCTGGTTTCTAATGTGGATGTAGACTTATCACCCTTTCTTCCTTTTTAGCTATTAATATAACTCTAATAACTGAAAATTCATTTTTTATGTTAATTGCAGTTACAGAATTATTTAGAAATAATTGAATCAGAAGATGAAACTGAGAAATAGACCTCCAAATTCACTGTTCCAGCAACTGCAACTTTAGGTAGTCTATAGAACATCATAAAATAATGGGCTGGGATTTAATGTGTCTCTGGAGAAACCATTTTAGTAGTCAGTTTTTTCTAGTGTGTTATTTTAAGTAGCTGTTAAAATAATTACTTTGAAACTTAAAAATAAGGGGGCATTCCCAAACTTATTATATGAAACAATGTGCTATATCTTATTTATATGCTTTTCCTCACCCTAAAGCTTCTTTTTTTTTGAGACAGAATCTCACTCTGTCTCTCCAGCTAGAATGCAGTGACGTCATCATAGATCACTGGAACCTCAAACTCCTGGGCTCAAGTGATCCTCTTACCTCAGCCTAAGAAATAGCTGGGACTACAGGCGCATGCCATGATGCCCAGCTAATTTTTCTATTTTTAGTAGAGACGGGGTCTCCTCCCACCTCAGCCTCCCAGAGTTGTAGGATTACAGGTGTGAGCCACTGTGCCTAGCCCACCCTAAAGCATTTTGAGAAGAAAGAATTCCTTAATGATTCCCTTCCATCCACAAACTATTGTAGAATATCTACAACACTGACCTCTAGCAAATAATTTTCTGAATAGGAAAATCCTTGTTTTGATCATGGTTTTAAAAAAAAAGTTTAATTGACAGCAGTTACAGAAAGGGAAATATAGTAGTCAGGAACTATTTCTTTCTCTCCAAGTCCAGTTTATTCCTACCTTTTCTCTTTTTTTATTGCCTTTTACTTTCTTTTCAATTGACTATGTTAGGTTTCTATCTCCCATCTCCTCAAAGAAATATTATTAAACTCAAAAACCCAAAACATGAAGTCGTAAAGGAAGATGCACCTTTTAGTCTTTAAAAATGAATCTTCCTCTCTCTCTGTCTCACAGGCTCAAACTGTCTTGTTTAAAACAGTAAGGAACTGTCCAAAGAAAAATGTTAGAGGTCCATATTGCAATAATTGTCATCAATTACTGCATTCTTTAGAGAATTAGGACTAGGGTTTTCTGGAGACTATTTCTGTGAGTGGCCATGGACTAGATAAAGGCTTATGTAATTTAAACTTTTTATCATTCCTCCCACTTTCAGAATAGACAATATTAGGGAAAAGGAGAGAATACCACTTAAGTTAATGTCTTTTACTGACTGTGTAATTCGAGTGTTGTTTCTGTGTGTGTGTGTTGCATGTACAGTGGAACACGATCTGGATCAGATCGACTACATTGACAGCTGTACCGCAGAAGAAGAGGAGGAGGAGGTGAGACAGCCCAAGGGCCTGGACTCAGACAGCCTCAGCTCACAGTTTATGGCATATATTGAACAACGGCGGATCTCTCATGAGGTAGTGCACACATTTAAGCCTAACCATGTTGCTATCGCCTGGTAAAAATGATTCATGATAGTATAAATTTCTGTCATACTGGTGATTTGTTGGTTTAGGCCTAATTGTTTTATGTTCTCTTCCAATTTCAATCCTGAATTTTTCAGATTTATTCAGAAAAATCAGACAGTATTCTCAAGTAGGGTTTAGGTTTATTTTTCAAATAAAAAACCAAAGTTCAAAATTTCAAAGAAGGAATAAAAGAAGTCCTAAGAGTAATCTAAAGCCTTTGAATGAAATGCAAAGGAATATGATGCTTTTCATTGTTGTTTTTATTGCTATATTATTGTTTCTAACTGATAAATCGCACTTTGGTCAGTAATTAAGAATTAAACCAAAAAGTTGACTTTTAGGGCAACATACAAACAATCATAGAATTTTTATAATAAGCTTAAGTATATTGGAGCTTTTATGCTAAGTCACACAGAATATAAATTGTTTGCTATTAAAATTCTTGGGTGTCTCTTATAGTAGACCATTGTATTGCTTTAGGAAACAAATGAGCATTCAGCTTACTGTAGAATCTCTGCCAATTCCCCAAGGGTCTCAAACAGAATAGCATTCTTCAATATATCTAGTCAGCATAATAAATTGGCCCCACTTTTGTGTTTGCGATGTCGATGTCTGGAGTTGGTCCCAGGCTCTGAGCAGAGGTTATTTGAGAAACATTTGGATCTTTTTTGGAGAATGATGTATTTAGCCTTTTAGAAATAGAGAATAATCACTTCTAGTGGGACATTGTAGAGTGATACTATCATTCTTTAAAAGAAAAAAAAAAAACTTTTGATTTTCCTATCTGAAGGCTTTTAAGCACAGTGGTTTTTGTTGGTGTTCTGAAGACACTCTTACATTGAAAGTTGGATAAAGTTATATAAATCAAAGTGCTCCAGCTCAGAAATAGCAGTGTACCAGGTGACTGATCAAACAACCTGTGGTACAGGCTATGAGCTTTCCTTCTAGGAGTTGCAACTCTTTTACAATAAAATTAAAGTTAACAATGGTGTATTATAATC